AAGGATGTTATGGCACATCCCTGGAATGCTACTGTGGTTTAAAAAAGAAAGAAAAAAAAAAAAAAAAAGGACTTATCCTGTTACCACCAGAAGGAAATGAAGCAGTTCTCAGGAGCAGATGCCATATTAATTAATGTACTCATCTGATAACATCTGATAATATTCCACATATAAGTGTGCAATGGCATTTTAACCACTCTGTGCCCAGTTGCTGAAAGGGTCTGGACTGCTTAAGTACACTGGCAGTAAGGAAGCAAGGAAGTGCTTTATTCCACAGAGGAATTCTGTCCTGCCCTGAAGCAGAAGGAAGGCTACTGCTGTTATCAGGCAGTCATTCGCCCCCATAAGATGTTCTTTTGCATTAACCCAATGATAATTCCACCCTTGCTGCTAGACTAGTGTGCCACACAGACCAAAGGGGTGAGACTCATACAAAGGGCTCTGAAGCTTGCCTTGCTGCATGAAAACATTCTACTGTTTGCTTATCAGGCTGGTGGCATTTTGCAAAAAGCTGGGCAAAGTCTTCTCTGTACTTAACTAAAAGCAGATGCTAAACAAAGTGGACTTAGGAGAGGTTGTGGAATCTCCTCCTCGGAAGACTTTCAAAACCCGTTGGGACGCTTTTCTGTGCAGCCTGCTCTAGGCAAAACAGCTTTAGCAGGGGAGCTGGACTAAATGATCCCCAGAAGTCCCTTCCAACCCCTAGAACTCTGTGATTCTGTAATTCAAGGGATGGCTGTACTTTCTGAGCAAAAAAAAAAACATAGAGGGAGATTTTCATTGAAGGACAGAAAGATTAGTGGGCTTCAAATGATAATTTTCTTGGATAAGAAAGGAGTAAATTTCAGTCCTACTGCAAGACTTTGATCTTCAGGGCAATAATATGACATTGTCCTTACTTATAAAATAGCTTTGCCCCTGTGGAAATGTTTTGTCATACTAAATAAGAAAGTAATTCATCATTAAAGATGGGGAGTGAAATGTATGCTTGTTCAGCTAATAGCCTGGCGAATGTAGAGGAAAGAATGACATCTCTGTGTCATTGTCTGCCATATCTCACTGGCTGCAGCCTAATGACTCCTCTAGAAAGACTAATGTTAGGTTATTAAGCCAAACCACAGGATGCAATATAATTTAAAGACCATCCAATGTAATTACAGTTAGTGCAGCATCACTAGGAAAATGCTATTTGGTATTCCTTGTATCATATCATTGCCACTTCTGTGCATGCCATTACCAGAAGCAATTCATCTCATGTTCCTGAAATCCTGCTGTAAAACTCCTCTTGACGTGTCACACATCCTGTGAGCATTACTAGCAATGAGCCGACAACCCCGACAGGCCATGGAACGCTGCACACTGCTCATTGGTTGAGAAAGTGCTCGGATGAGATTCATGCTAGGTACTGACATTATAAAAACTTGCAGTTTTGCCTCCCTCCCACACTGCCCCTTCTCTGAGACCCATGCACAAGGGCAGAAAATTGCCACTAAGTTAGAATAGGGCTTTTTCCTGCCTGCTTGACCCATGTATTAACTGTTGTACATACTGAAGCAGTGGAGATGGAGGCCCAGCCCAGGTCAGATTGAGTCAGAGTCACTCAAGGCTCCCTGGGGAGAGAGAATGCTGCTCACCACGAGTAAGACAAGCCAGCTGCTGCAAACGGCAGTCTGGCTCACAGGAAGCATCCCATGATCAAAGGAGAAAAGGAAATAGTTAACACAACAGAGAGCTGACTTCTCACTCCACAGCTGTAACTGCATCTCAGCCTGGGACAGCCACACACTGTTCTTGGGCTTACGTGTACTCTTTAGACATCTGACCATCTTTATCTTTGCCCTGTATTTGAAACAGTTATTGCTCTGAGTGATGGTAATATGTTCTTTGGTAACTGACAACTGCCAGGAACACCTGCATGTAGAAACTTCTGGGTTTGTCATTATTCTATAAATTTAATTTCTGACTCATATGAGGACTAAGGCAGGGAGCAAACAGCAAATTAATATATTCTGTGATTATCAGACTGAATTATTCAGGAGGTAAAACATTTTTCTTGTATACTACATAGGGGTTTGGGTCAGAAGTGTTAAGTCATAATTAAACACGAAGCTGAAGATCAGGCCCTTTTCCTGTATGGATATTGGGTCCAAAACCAATGTCCAGCAGTACTCAGGTATGCAGCTTGCCTAATCTGGCTGTCCCCACCCCACCAAGCATCATAATTTTATTTTTCAGAATTCAGAAATATTTCCAAAAAATCAGAGCTCTAGTCTGAGACATTTGTAATGTCATAAAAATATGTCCACGTGCATTAAATCTGTTTCTCATATTGAATTCTAAAAGCAGCTCTGCTATTCTTTTTTTATTTCCCAACTGACGTATGTTAATTGTACTTAGATTAGGCAGGTCAGCTTTCTGCCATAACACCTCTGCAACATTTAATCTTGTCCTTCTCCATCATATATCACTTTATCTTACTCCTTCCTACCACCACAACTGTGATCACCACCTAGTCCAACCTAACAGCTAGCTAACTTTTGTCCTTCCCATCCCCGGCCTCCCAGCAAGTAGCAGCAAATATTTTCACCACGCCTGCCGTCTGCTAGCTGCCATGGAGCACCAGGCTGCTACTGTCAGGGGTGCCACAGGGCGGCTGTGGTCGGGCCTGCCACAGAGCCAAGAAAACAAGTAGGGTGTTGCTGCCTGCTGCAAGGGGCAGAGCTGCTGCTACCAAACCTAAAAGGAGATGGGAAGAAGGGCATCTAAAAGCCCCTAGAGAGAAAGGACATCTGATCAGCACCAGTTTGTGAGTGCAGCTACAGGAAAACTGTCTGAGCAGCAGCTTCCCAGTTCTTCCAAGAAAACAGTGAAGAGCTCTGGCATGTGATTTATGCACCACCCACTTGGACTACAGGGAACAGGATTATACCCCTCTTTTCCCAGTGTTATACTCAGCCAGGGCATCTGAGCTTTCCCCTTGTAGGCCTCTTTGAAATACAAGAATCTCAAAACAAGCATGTGACAGAAAAGTAATTTATCCTAGCTGAACAGCTATGGGTCCCTTTTTTTACAGTTAACCTTTTTTCCAGTTTGCAGTGGCGTCAGATTCCATGTGGAATTCAGACAGAAAAGTCCCAAATATCTGCAGTCTGCTTAGAAAGTGAACTGCACACTTGTTCCAGACGATCCCCCCTTTCCCCTATACCACACACCACTCACAGCCTTGCCAACATGCTCCCCTGTCGCAAGACGCAGGGTGGGAGCAAACACTACTCAGCCCCCTGGCCACTTCAACCTTGTTCTCCTTTTTACACTGTGGCACATATTTGTGCAGCATGCAACAACCAAGTGAGAACATCTTTTCCGAGTGGTATTTCTTAATGGCATTTGGAGAAAGATTTGTAAGGAGTGCCACATGAATTGCAAATTAAATCCTCCACTTCCATGACTGTTTTTGCCTTGCATTTTCCTCTTTATAGCTCTTTCAGTCTGGGTTTTCTTTGATTAGAAGCACTGAAAAACTGTTAAAACAAAGACTGCAAGTACTTTTCTGCTCTCTGTCTCCTCACTCCCTCTGACATGCTTTATTTCTGTTAAGTGCTTTGGATCAGGTCCTTGCCTCTGGTATTATTCTGCCAGCCTTGACTTTTGTCTAGAATAGCATCTTTGGCCAATTTCTTGCTCCTCACTGGCTGACTACTGTGTTCAGGGCTCCTACTTTTAATGGATCAAGGGTTTAGACATCTTGAGACTAGCATTGGCCTCTCCACTTGGCTCCAGTGCTTCCTTTTCAGGCTCCTCACAAAAATGAACAAGGGTTTAATAGTTAGTTCTCAATACAGTAGTTCTCAATACAGTGCTCCCTTGTTTATTTTCCTCACATGTCTACTCTTCCTTTCCATTCCTGGCCACAAAGAGAAGAAAGTTGGAAGGACACCAGTTTTGCCAGTTTATTACCAGTTTTGAGGTGAGAAAGCTGGCATACTGAGGAGGTGGGGGGTGTGAGGTAGGACATCTAGAGGGAACAGATTAGCCTACCAACAGCCCTGTTGCTGGACCTTCTGCAAGAGCCCAGTGTAAGTAAGTACCACTAGAAATGTGGGCACGGTTGCCTAGCTCTCCCCTTGGCTGTAAGCAGTCTTCTCTAACACTCCTCTGAATTTCAGTTCCCCTTGTGCAAAACCTAAGTGGAGCACAGGGTCTATGTGCTGGCATCCTGTACAAGGGTAAAATCTGAAGGATGGATTAGTTCCCCAAAACAGCAAAATTGCAGGCAGGGGATTATAATCTTTGGTATAGCAGTGGTCTTGACCACACTTTACTTCCCACAGCATGAAGTAAAAAACTGAGAGAAAATATATTTTCAGTTTTCCTAGAAATAAAACTTCAGATTAACATAAAGGGCACTTGGCTTCAGATTGACTGAATGTTTTCTTTGGCTAAAATTTTCTTTTTGCTTGTGGGTAAATTCAGTTTTGTTCAGTCCCTTTCAAGAAGCAGGTTAATTATGAAAAGGGAAACAGGAGATACAGCAACGCTCTCTTGAAAAATGTGGAAATAAAACATTTTAAAGTTTTTTAACATTCCCCTCTTCTTCTCAGACAAAAACAAGAGGAAACTAATAGGGCTGATCGCACTTTTGCAATCAGTTTACTAATCTCAGGTTCTCCTTACATTAAGCTAGAATCATGATGTCTCACTTTACCTGTAAAAGACCATGCATCTAATCTAAGGTGGTGGCTAGATTCTCTGTCAAAATCCAGGCACCTGCAAAGTGGTGCATCCTCCCTGTTGCAGCCATGTTAAGGCAGGGGGACATGCTCTCTGGCAATGCTCCACTCCCTACTGATCACAGAGGAAACAGGGACAAACCGTTTGAACTTAACACGAGTTTTAATGGCTAAATTTAGATAAGGTTTTCCTTGTTGCTCTGCATACTTATTGGTTTTCTTCATTGTAAAAGACTTGATTTTTCTTGTTTCCAGAATCTAGGTACATACCTTCAAGAAGTCACGGTCACAGTCAGATCCATCTTCTAAATCAAAGGCTGTGAAGCTGTAGTTGAGTGTGTTCCCCTTTGTAGCTTGGATAGTCCAGTTGCAGTGCTCATATAGTGGGTAATTATTTGGATAATTTAAGCTTTCCAATATGCCATAGCTACGATTAACTGTCAGTACGTCTTGGCAAACTGAAAAAAAAAAAAAAAAGTGATAATAAACTATACTTGTACAGTGCTTATTAACCCAGTATCTCAAAAAATTCCTAAGTGAAGTTCCTGGTAGCATTACAAGGTGAGAAATATTTTTATTCATAGATCAGAGAAATCATGAAGAAAGAGAATTGTGTGTTATTGAAGAATATATTGCATATGTTGCACAAAAAAAATCAGACTTCCCAAACTTGAATCCTTCAGCTCTGTTATGTCCTTCTTTTGTGACACTTACAGATGCATCGGTATATGTAGCACATATATATTTTTGGCAGGTTTTTTTAATTCTAAATGCATAGTTATTCCTGAAACATGGTGGTGGTTGTTGTTGTTGTTGTTTTTGTTGTTTTTCTGATAGAAATTTGCTCTGTCAGTTGAAGTAATTTGGGGAGGGTGCTCAAGAAAGATTGACTAATGGGTTAAAGTGTTTTATTTCAGCAAATTGGAAAAAATAATAATCATCCCTGGCTAAAACAACAAATGGAAAGTACAGTACTTGTTCTGGATTTTCTAGGTCCAGGAAAGATATCCAATAGCATCGTAGTGTAAAAACTGGATGACCACCTGAAATAGTGAGAGTTTTCCCTGAAGTGCAGAAAAAATGAAAAAGAAACTAAACTAGACAAAGAGTGAAACAACGATTATGCCATTAGGTCAGTCAGTCTCATTTTCCTGTGGCAAACGTTCGTAAAGACAGAAAATATCAATGTGGGCAATCTGTTGTCTGAAGACAGTGTGTCTGTCATACACCTGGAGCAGACCAGTGTAATGCACACAGACATGAGCAGGAGGTGGGGAGCAGGACAGGTTATTTTCTTCATACAGCAAATCTACAGTGTTTGAACAGCAGTAATAGAAGAGATTCACCTGCAAAACTCTTCTAATGATAACACGCCTACCTCCTGCAAATATTTTTTATCCTTTCCAAATGATTTTCGGATCAGCAAGGTCTTTGGTTTTAGGTCCTCAAAATGCTCAGGATACTGATGAAGGTCAGGGCCAGGCAGAGTGGAGCTTGTCTACACAGCTACACTGAAGCATACAACTGTTTGAAAGGGCAGGATGAAGAGCAAAAAATGGATTTTGAAGAACACGAGATGGGTAAAAGCTGCTACCACCTGCCATCAGGATTTTACTAGAAACAAATCAGACACAAAGGTGCCTTTGAATGTTAGCTTGATACTGTGTTTTCCTTTCCAATGTTTTCCAACTCATCATTATATTTCTATCATCTACATGTAACTGTGTCTGGCATCTAAGCATTTTTACTTTACATCACTACTTCCTACATAATTTTAGCTGTTGGACAAGCTTGGAATGCTTTCTCAGATGCATCTTCAGGAATTAAATATGAATGTAAAATATAGACCACATTATCTAATAGCTCAGCTGAGTGCTGTGAAAGTGCTTTTTCTGTTTAATTAATGAAAGGGAGGGAGAACCCTCTTCTAATATATCATCTTGACTTTGCAATCTGAAAAGTCCACTGCAGATGATTTGTGATACCTTCAAGGAATGAGGGAAGCAAAGCTCACCCTTTGCGAGTATGTGCCACGTGTGGACGAATAACATTGTTATTTCTCGTAATCCATTTACTGTTGTGCAAACCTAGGACAACTTGATGTCTATAAACCTACAGCAATCCACATCACTTTGTTATGTCATATTTAGGGTACACAAAGATGCTTGCCAATCATTTTGTACATGGTGAAATTCTGTATCTTCCAATGTGCATTTACCCATATATGCTAGAATGTATAAGGAGAAAAGTAAACACCAAAATGATGTTCAAGTTTGTGACTGGGAGCAAAATAAATTTTATATGTCATGTATCTTCTTGGAATTTTCTTCAAATGTTATTATTCTAATATTTCATGGGTAGAACTATTTTACAAAAAAAAGTCTGTATGAAAAATTTGACCCTTATCATAGCATATAAAAAATTAAAGTTTTTTTAAGTGTTTCAGGTAGGGTAAATGATCCTAAGTACCTGCAGTGATCCAGGACGGCTGAGGGTAACTCACTTATCCTCCACCATCCTGCCTCACAAGGAGCTAGAAAAGCAGAGAAGGTTGTTCTACCTACCTTCTCTGTTAAAAAGTCAGGAGACTCTGTGAGCAAAAGAGCAAGAATGATCCAATCTACCCTGTTACAGACCTCCAGCACTTGTTATTCTGAGTAAATCTGGAGCAGTAAGTGCCACTGGTGCAGGCAATTGAAGTAGATCCACCTCACCATCTCTCTCCTAGGAAGGAGATAGTCTCCATCACAGATAGATGGGCAGATAATTTTCAGCTGTCTGTGTTCTGTGACTGTAGCAGACTAGAGAATCTGGGTCAACAATATGCTCTATATATCATCCTCTTGCTCAGGAATAGGTAAGAACACTGGCTGCACAAAGCGGTTTCAGGAACAAGCTGAACTGTAGAGACATTCTTCTCATGTGCTTTTACTTACGTACCCTGTTTGTATTTCGCTAAAAAACCTCCACCCTGAAAGCTGTTGTCTGTCCTTAATTTCACATACACGCTGTCTCCATTGGAATGGATGAGTTGTGGTATCTGGTTCCCACAAAATTTACCTAGCAGTTTGGCATTACTGCTGTTGCCATCATATACCTTAAAAAACAAACAAAAACAAACAAACAAACAAACAAACAAACAAACAAAAACACCAACAAAAACAAGAAACAAGCAGATGTATTTAATAAAGCTGATGGTATTACAAATCCAACTAACTTCCCCTGAAAAATGTCTGCCTAAGAAATTGTTACTGGGTATACAAGAGGTTAAATTCTATTTCTGCTCAGAGGAAGCCTGACAGGCATTTCAGAAATAAGCAAATCAGTGGAAAAACAGGAAGCCAGTAACCAGTGGGTTTTGAGGGGCTTACTCACCAAGTGGGGAAAACTGAAACTCCATTTCAACTCTATTAAAAATAATCAGATAATTTATGCAACAATTCATATATGAAATTTGGGATTAACAATAGGGTTATTGACACAGTTGTGTCTTTTTCCTTGTAACCTACTAAGAGAACATACCAAGGCCTTAGTCCAAACCACAGCAAATTCAAAACATATAGATAGATTCTTGTTTCAGTGGCCTTTCTATCTAGACATAAATACTTTTCTTACCAGCAGCTACACAGACACTACTGCCTTACCCTCCACTGCTCTGGGATATGAAGATAGCATGTTGCATGGAGCTTTCCTATCCTCAGTCTGCTCACTTATGAACATTTGAGGACCAGGGCCATGTGTCTTTCCTTGCCTGTGTACTCTCCATACTCGGCTGTCTCCTATGGAGCAGAGTCACAGGGTACATACCGCAAGGTAATCCAAGTTGCAGTTTGGGTGATACTCTAGATGGAACTGTTCAAACTGGATTTCAAATGGGGTTCCTCGGTTTCCTCTGAGCAACCAGTAGCACTCTGAACTGTGGTAATATGGCATAGGGTAGTTGGGAGACATGAAGATACCGGAAGCTGTCATCAAAGTCCCACCACAACCTGAAAATGGCAAAGAAAACAGACCAACATTCAACACCTAGAAGAGTAAAGGATTAGACATGATGTGTGAGATTCACACTGCTGACCTTCACATGCCCTGAACATCTTCAATGATCCCCTAAAAATCTGCGTTTAGCCAACAGTGTCGTAAGCAGAAGAGAGCCTGTAACACCTAGAAATATAATTTTTTTCCATGAAATTCTTGGTTACTGCTTTCCTAAACATATGTGAAAGTTGATGCTACATTATATCTAGGGAACAGTATATCCTTCCCTGTAGAGAAAAAGGAAGCCCAAGGATCAAGAAAGTTGTATCCTTGATCTTAATAACATGAATTTATGTTGTTATCTAATTAGCAGACAGATTTTAGAAGATAGGAAGCAGAAAAGATGTGGGGAAAAAGGTGAGAAATAAAATACAAATGAAAGATAAAAAATAAGATGTGTAAAATGGTTTTATACTTGATGTGGTCATTTTACCTGCTGAGGTACCGTCCCACTCTGCTGAAAATCCCTTTCTTGTGCCAAATATGTCACTTACAAACTTTATCCACAGCTTGTTACCATGAGAGATTATCACAGGAGGCAGGTCTGCACCACAGTATTTTCCAAGAAGAGGAGAAGTTTCATAGCCTCCATCTCTAGAATGATAGAGAAGAAAAACTTTGGGTCAAAGAGGGAAACCATGAGAAATGTTAACAAATTAAAAATCTCTAGAATTTTTTCAGGCCTGGGAAAGTCTAATCTTGACTCTTCATCTTACACAGCAATACAACTACCAAATACTGGAGGAGCACTTCTACTTGCAGTAAGAAGTCCTGCAACAAGCACCTGCTTGCTGGGTGTGTTCACTCTCTCATCTCAGCAGCCTGAAGGCAAAAGAAGTCTCACATAGCCTCTGTGTTGCAGAGCCAGGACTTTCTCTGTATTCTACAAGGTGGCAATTGCTGGTGTAACCAAAGGTAATCTTCTAATTTAAAGAAATAACAGTTTGCTCACTTCTCAGTGTTTAGCCTGGCACAAATTCCAGATTAGCTGACCTACTTAAAAAAAGAAAAAAAAAAAAACGCAGCTTATTTGCCACCAGACAAATGGGAACTCATTTCTCAGAATTGATATGATTCACATTTTGAAGTATTTGCTTAGCCTTCAGAATTGTTTCTACAAGCACTTAGTTCCTTTTTCTAAATAAAGTAATATTTCCAGTAACATTTTCTAATATGGTAATCAGGATGCACATTTAATGTTCTGCTTTGGTACCTGCACGTGTCTCCTTGGAACAAAAAAAACAGTGATAACCTGCTTAACAATTGCTTTCTAACCTTATCTTTAAGCACCTTTATACTAAAAATACTGTACAAATCAGTAGGAAAATAATAAATACATTTATATCTATATATTGTTATAATCTTGGTAGGATGCTTTTTAAGTGGACAGTAAGAACTGAAATAACATTTCCCCATGGGTTTATTATACCTGCTTTTGAGAAATTTCTACTTAAGACCTTGCCACTCTGTCATCCTCCTAGCTTAAACTTCTTGCCAGTGTCTCAGGTTACAGGCAGTTGAAGAAATGTGCCAGAACCTCCCTTCACTTGCATCTTGGCCTCTGCAGCTCTCATCAGATGAGAATTTTCTTAATTGACTGAATGCAATTTATCAGAGGACACCTCAGGACAAGAAATCAGAGTGGCAGCTAAGACCTATCTAGCTACCCCGTTCAATGGTATCAGGTTTGATGAGACATTCTGGAAACATAACTGTGGTGGCAGCAGCAATGAGCTGAGTTGCACTTAGCAATGTTCTGGCTGTATCTTAAAACCTGTTGAGTGCTACTGAGCTCTTTGCAGTGACAACAGAGTTAGATTTACAAAATAAATTAATTTTTTCAGTTCTTGAGGTGAAAAAGTAAAAAAGGAAAAAAAAAAAAAACACACAAATTCTGTTATAATTTAGGTCTACCTCAAATTAAAGTGTTAACTGTTAAAGTTAGATTAAATTTAATCTCAGGTTGTTGTTTTAAAATTAAAAAATGAAACACTTGACTTATAAAATATTGAAGAAGCCTTTCACGTTTTCATAACTTTTTCTAGTTTGTATGTACAGCTGAAAAAAAACAGCTAATTCAGCATTGGAATTCAGAATCTCACTACTCCAACTTCAGCAGGCAGCTTTTTGTTTGGGTCTAAAAAGTAAAGCACTACTTACTGAAGAATAACCCATACAGAATATTTGTAAAAATATTCAGAATTAGTTTTATTATGGTACTCACTGAGGTCATGGAAACTCATGGCATGCTCAAAGTGAAAAAACCCCACTGGTGTCCTGTAGGCATGGTTCATCTAGAGAGCTGGCTCATGAAGACAAAATGGACACACTGACATTGCAACGTGCAAATCCCATACAGTAACAGAGCAGAAAGGATGTGTGCTTAGTGCAGATGTGTTGTGAGCCCGCAACTAACCTTTCCGCAAATATCACTTTTTTCTCCTTGTAAAAATCCTCCTGTAAAATTTAGTAGAAATCACCGTGCTAATATCCTAAGTTTAATGGTGATGCCAGTATAGACAAATATCACAGATTATGTTCCTAGTACTGCATCATGGAGTAGCTGCTGTTTAAACATAAAATGCAAAATAGAATCATAGAGTAGTTTGAGTTGGAAGGGACCTTTAAAGGTCACCCAGTCCAACCCCCTGCACTGAGCAGGGACATCTTCAACCACATCAGGTCACTCGTAGTCTTGTCTAACCTGACCTGGAATGTTTCCAGGGACAGGGCATCTACCACCTCTCTGGGCAGCCTGTTTCCATGTTTCACAAGTCTCTTTGTAAAAAAAATCTCTTCCTTATATCTATTCTAAATCTGACCTCTGTTAGTTTAAAACCATTACCCCTTGTCTTGTTGCAACAGGCCCTGCTAAATGTCCCCATCTTTCTTATAGGTCCCCTTTAAGTACTGAAAGGCTGCAATAAGGTCTCCCCAGAACCTTCTGCTCTCCAGGCTGAACAACCCCAAGACTCAGCCTTTCCTCATCAGAGAGCTGCTCCAGCCCTCTGATCATTTTTGTGGCTCTCCACTGGACCTGCTCCAACAGCTCCACGTCCTTCTTGTGCTGAGGGCTCCAGAGCTGGACACAGTACTCCAAGTGAGGTCTCACCAGAGCAGAGTAGAGGGACAGAATCATCTCCCTTGACCTGATGGCCACACTTCTTTTGATGCAGCCCAGGATACAGTTGGCCTTCTGGACTGTGAGCACACATTACTGGCTCATGTCCAGCTTTTCATTCACCAGCTCCCTCATGTCCTCCTCCACAGGGCAGCTCTGAATCCCTTCATCCCCCAGCCTGCATTGATACCTGGGATTGGCCTGACCCAGACGCAGGACCTTGAATTTGGCCTTGTTGAACCACATGAGGGTCACAGGGACCCACTTCTTGAGCTTGTGCAGGTCCCTCTAGATGGCCTCCTGCCCCTCTGGTATGTTAACTGCACCACTCAGCTTGGTGTCATCTGGAAACTTGTTGAGGGTGCATTAGATCCCACTGTCTATGTCACTGATGAAGATATTAAACAGAAACAGCACTGGTCCCCATACAGACCCCACTTGTCACCAATCTCCATCTGGACATTGAAACCTGGACCACGTTACGCTCTGGATGTGGCCATTTGACCAATTACTCATCCATCGAACAGTCCACCCATCAAATCCACATCTCTCCAGTTTAGAGAGAAGGATGTTGTGAGGGACCATGTCAAAGGCCTCACAGAAGCCCAGACAGATGAGCTCCATAGTTCTTCTCTTGGCCATTGATGTAGTCACTCAATCATAGAAGGCCACTAGGTTGGTCAGGAAGGACTTGCCATTTGTGAAGCCATGCTGGCTCTCTCAAATCAGCTCTCTGTCCTCCATGTGCCTCAGCACAGCTGAGGGTCTGTTGCATGGTCTTCCCAGGCACAGAGGTGAAGCTGACAGGTCAGTACTTCCCAGGGTCCTCCTTTTGACCCTTTTTAAAAATGGGGGCAATGTTTTCTTTTTTCACCAGGGACTTCACTTGACTGCCATGACTTTTCAGATATGGAGTATGTGTCCCAAAACAGGTGATAAACTCTTTGTTTCTGCATGAAGGAAAACAACCAGAATGCAGTGCATGGAAACACAGTCCACATACTCCACTTGCTCTCTGAACTGGAATTTACCAAGTGGGAAAGCCAGCAATGGAGCCAGGTGTGAAGAGGGAATGGTAGCCTTTAAAGTTTGCTGGTAAGTCATTTTCCCACATGGACAGCACAGGTGTATAGTTAAAACTACAGTTCCTGAACATGTGTAAATGGACAAGAAAAATAATTAGGCTTGCCTGATTTCTACATAATCCTCCGTGCAGCGTCTGTTCCCTTCCAAGGTGAAGTTGGTGAAGTGCAGCACAATCTGTCTGTTCATTCCCACTGTGATGGTGTATATGCACTCTGTCTGGGTGGGGTAGTTATTGGGATAGTTTGGAGATGTTACCACACCAGTTTCAGTACTGTAGTTGTGTGAACACACTTTAAAAAGAAAAGAGACCAGTATGAATTAAATAGGTATGCTAAAGTAACAGGAAATTTCTCTTCCCAACAGAGAGAGGAGCTAACGTCCTGTGCTCCTGTGCATTATAACTCTTTCTGGACACGTCTTACTGCTGAATGTCATCACCATAAAGTAAAACAGAATCCATTTTTTTCATAGGATTTCTTATATCTGAGTTGACTTGTTCAGCTTTTACCAGAACACTGGTAAAACAGGCAACATTAGAGTAGTTCCAGCTGCCTAAATTGTCTTTGGCCTGGAACCAGGTAAGCAGAGAAAGGAAACTGAAAGGGATGCCTTGATCAACGCTAAAGGTAAGATTCCTGAATTTCTGGAAAGCACTGGTTTTGGAAAGTGAATGCAGTCTCTAGCTATGAGGAGACACTATATTGCTCTGAGGCATTCCCCACAATAAAATCTGGGAGATGGGGATTTTATATCTATATTTCTTTTCCCATTTTCTGGACCATAAGTGACAACCAGTTGGAAAATAGTATAATCTTTAGATGGAGAGGACAAAGCAATTCTACTTTAGGTCTGATACTAAAATCAGCTACATCAATTCTTCTGTCAGCACTGTAGAAGCATCTTGGTATTATGAGCTGGAATGAAGAAAATAGTGAGGACTCTTGCTGAGCCAGAACCTGAGCAATAATTAAAACGAAGCTATTTCAAAAGCACAGACATAATGGTAGGTGAGAGTTACTTTGGAAAGAACAATTGTCACGTATTATTGATCACAGTCTGAGTAAGGTTTGTGATCTGGCTGAAAAAAAGGGCAAGAAGAAATCTGATCCGTGTCAGATGTTTTCAGTCAAAACAGAATCTTGATGACACTGCACAAGGCAATGGTGACATCTCACCTGGAAAATGTGGATACACATGGTCACTGATGTTCTGGAAATCAAATGAGAACAAGACAGAGGTTGTGGAGATAGCAGGAAATGAGGTTACTAGGCAAAAGACACAGACACTAGAAGAGCCTGATGTGTTTAGTTTAGCAAGTGCAGGAGAAAAAGGGCTAAACATCAGGAAGCATGAAGAGAAGAAAAATAGAACACACTCTCAATGACAGTACAAGTTATGAAGTTAAAAACTGCCCATGAATACAGACACACAGAAATTCGGAGGAAGTTTCTATCAGGAAGTGTGTTTCTAGAGTAATTGTCAAACCAACATAACAGATGCAGTAACGGGGGGAAAAAATCCACTGTTTTTTAAGATACAGTTTAATTAATTTAATTAAAAAGGGGATCACATTACATAGATCTTGTTAAAAAAAGAACAACAAAGAGGGGTGTGGAAGTAGGCATAAAACTGTGGCCTAATTTGATGACCCTGGAGACTCATTCTGCTCCTCCATTCCCATTTCAAGTCCTACGGTTTGCAAATATAAGAAATCAAAATAGATTTCTTAAATACATTCTATCAAATAGGCAGAGTTAGACTAATTATCAGGTACAACTAAAAGAGCAAACAAAATATTATGATTAACTTTAAACTCATTTAAGGTGATTGCCACAGATCTCCAAAACCTGTTTTCTAACACAGCACAGTTGCAATGTAGTAATACTTGTGATTAACACTTCAAAATGCACAGTAATTTAGAGGGAAGAGATGAAATGGCAGTTGAGGCCCTCCAGGTCTAAGGTGGGTCATTTTCATGTCTGTTCTTTATCCATTCTAACTATATATTCTAACTACTAAAACACTTTTGCTTTTAATGGCATCTTTTTTAATGGTGTTTTTTTTGCATTCTTGGTCACCACCTGGAAGGCCTCTGTTGGAAATGTTTTCTGTGGGATAAATACCCCCAAAGCTGACTCATGTTCCTAATTCATCACAAGAAACATGACACAGAAACACGCAGAATTTTCTGCCACTGGGTTCTACTTTGGTATTGGCAGGTCAAAAAGGTTTCATGCAACAGTTTATCTAAAAACACAATCTATTAGCCTTTATTTAGAATTTTAGTAATTTGTGTGTTCCCTCACAGATATGCTCTAATGTATGCATACAACAATCAGGTTAGTCCTGGGCACCTCAAAAACCTTGTGCTGCTTTATAAATCCTTATAATGCCCTTGCTGTGCTGTCAGCTCATATGGTGCTGATATGTAGGCTTATCATCAAACACCAGATCCTTAATGCTTTCTTGAGAACCCTGCCTGCAGGATTAGAAATCTAACCTAGAAACGTGACACACGTTTTTCCTAACGACTCATTATACGAAAGCAATACAAAAATTAAAATGAAAATGTGTCTGTATTTATTAGGTTACCTATTTTTACCTAATTATTTCCTCTTGATTTTAGAAGAGTAGGTGCCTAACTCATGCACATTTAATTTTTCTCAGCCCTTTTAAGAACAATTTCCATAGAATTGCCCAGGTCCTCTCTGCCACCAAAGTTTGCTTTCTTGGGAGCAATCCATACGGACACTCATATTCCAAGAGTGCAGTTTTAAATTGGATGTTGTACTCTGCTTTACACGCCACATAATTTTCTTTATGTGCTAAGGGGCATAAGTACAGAAGGTGGAACAATGACTGCCTTAGAAAAGTCAGACTTCTGGCTAACGTGAAATAAATCCAAGTGTAGACTGAGCCTATGCTGCTATAAGGATTAGGAAAAGCATAAATGTAGTCATGGATTTTGTCAGCCAGCTCTCTTCTGGTGACTGGATCCATTCACTGTGTCCTACTTTGAACAGGAGAGCTGACACTCCCTTTTTGCACTCACATCACTAACACAGCATTTAGGGGTGTGCTTAAGCACTAACAGTCTTTTCAGTGAAAAGTGTTAACAAAGTTAGCAGGAAAAAGTACTTTGAGTCCTTTGCCAAAGTTCAGAATGCAGCCTAGCACCATAATGTGATTAGTATATACCTGGAAAAAATATTAATTCAGTTTAGTTTGCACTCGCCAAAGCTCATGAAAAACAGAAGGAGGAGGCAATTGTCAAGGACAATCACACATCTTGCTTTGCCCTGTTTGGTGTTTTGGAAACTATTCAATCTGCTTTCTGATTTTGGTAATGAATGTGTTTGCTCTTCTTAAAAAAAAAAAAAAAAAAAAAGGTGCCATAAATGGCATCAACACACTGTAATAGCCAACAGTGAAGAAAAATGCCTGATTTTGTACTACTCACTCATGCAAACATGCATAGTGCAGAAAATTATATCCATGTTTTTTCCCTTAAAGAGATATTCATCAGTGACCACAATTCTAATTAATCAAAATTACAACTATAGTGTCCTATGTAAAATCAGAGTTTTATTTCAATCTCATTCTGCCAAAGGAAAACTGGGATCCCAAAAAAATTAGATTTTTACATAATATACTACGTATGCTTAGAAAGAAAAGGAGGAAACTATCACATGAATTACATGCCTCTCCACAGGCAATGGAAAAGCACATCTGCACTTCAGGGCCTTCTGTTACTTCTGCCAGCAGACACCAAGAGGCTTAAGTTTTACCAAGAAGGCACACAAAGGTGCTCTGTAGCATTTCAGATCCAAACTCCTTAGAAACATGGGGTACAGCTGTTCAAAAAGAATCTCCGACTCTTCTGCTGATTTACACATAAAGACACTTACTAGAGTTATAGGCACATAGAAGCACACTAATACCCTGATCAAACACAACCAAGTTACTGTGCCCTAACAAGTTAGCTCAGCCTCATTCAACCATGTACTGTACCTGTGCATGCACTTATTGGTCAGGCTCTACTTTCTATTCTTGTCTTTGTTCATTCAGCTGAAGATAAAAGGCAGGCAACATACTCCTAATTATTACTGGGTTAAGTCAGCATGATCAGAACTGGGATCTCAACTTGCACTCAGCTATCAACAGACACACAAATCTATACATCACTTTGAGGTGCACTTTTAAGTCCACAGATTCTCAAATGTTTTTCTTTCTTTCCTGATCCCTCTCAAGCTCTGACTTCTCCAGTCAGTCACTGTCAGCTAATGTATACCATACAATGAAACCATTTAAAGAAAAAATTAGCTCTATTGATAAATAGTATCATTCAGAATTCAGGATGATAAGGAGGAAAAATATTATCTTTCACCAAAGCCACAGAAAGACCAGGAATGAAAACTCTATTAGGAAGGGAATCAGCTAAAAAACTTGTAAAGGCCGAGTTTTCTCAGCAGAAAGGATGAAATGAAGCTCTTTAATGAAACAAAATAAATGAAGAAGAAAAAAAGAGGAAAAAGAAAAAAAAAAAAACTCTCAAATCCCAATTCAAAGAAAAACAAATAAATTCCCACTTACTTGTGAAGAAGTTGAGGACAATAAAATACATACACTGACTCTAGTGGTATTCCTAGCGGAAAATTGTGGCCTGGATCTTTCAAGACCCCTGAGCAACACTTCCAGGAAAGACTGAGCCCTTTCAAAGATTTTTCAATAATGTTCCATAGATTCTGTGTGAGATGGCCTGCCAGGATGTGCAAACAGAAACCCTAAAGTCTGCCATGGGGCTGCTGTGACATTTACCTGTCTAGCAGTTGAGACCTGGACTTTATGAAATAAATCTAAATATTACCTTGTTTTCCATATGACTTTCTCCTTTAAAAGGCAGAAAGGCAGCCAAGAACTAAGTATCCAGTACGGGGGCAATATATATTTTAAACATCTGAGTATCATGTGAGCATGTTTGATTGGAGGAATTCTGTCTGTATTGCTGCCATATGAGCTATTCACAGCTACTAACCAGCAGACACTAGAACAATTGTTTGCACTTTATGGACTATGGCCATGGTTGTATCTCATGGCATTCAAATGTTTTGACAGTAAATATAGCTTTGCCTTTATTTTCAGGCTACTTTTCAATTAATATATCACAGACAAACCATGCTAACAAAAATATTGTCTGCTAAAATGCATGGAGAAGAAAATCAGTTTTGTTTTACAGAGAAATATTTTTTTTCACTTCTACTTACCCTTTTTTTCCCCTCCTATTTATTCTTTTTTGGGGAATAATCTTATCCATCTTTTCAATAGCTCATTCTCTGTAAAACAAGTCTGAGCAAAAGCCTATTGAAATGTCTAATATGAACCAGAACAGCTTTGGCCAGTTCTGATATTGATTACACTCTAGCTGGCTAAGACAACATAGCTCAAAAATAGGAAAGATTCTTACTGCACAAGAAACTTTATTAGAACCATAATTTCCTTAGTAGAGAAATGAAAACAGACAGCAGATGTAAAGAAAAAAAGAATCCATAGCTGTGGTAAATGTCTCAGATATTATTATGTTCAACAATTCACTACCTTAGTGTAACTGAATATACATTAGTAGAGTACCAGGCCTAAACATCTCACAGTGGGGAAACTAAACTTGATATGATTTCAGAGAAGTGGGGAGTTGCTTCTCACAGAAAAGTCCACATACACACGTGTTCTCCTTTTCTAAGGCCATAGAAGCTTCAAAACATTCTTAACAAAAAAAAAGAATGTTAGCAGTCTAGTATTTATTAACTTTGTAGTAATGCTATTTTTGTGCTGGGACTAAAAGAAACAAATCTCTGTAAAAAAAACAGATTGTAGCTTCAACTTCTCTGTAAGTCCATTACTATCAGTTTCAGTAGTTATATGCTACTTTGCCATACTTATACAAACTATAGTGGTTGAAATGAAAAAGCATTTATTCTAGAGATAATCATTCTAGGTTTGAGTGAGAATAAATTGAGAATAAGCCCAGTTTAGTTGAAGAGTAGCAAAGATATGTGTTAATTGCAGGAAAAGAAAACCATACCTGTTGTTTAGAGCTTGGATGAAGATATTATATAGTTCTAACTTCATATAGACATTTTATACAGTTTCTAGTTTTTTGTAGCATTGAAAAGAAAATAGACTTGCATTTTTAAG